TGCCGTATGTTACCGGTGCATTTCGCGCGCTATTTCCGCTGAGTGCCATTGCATGCTCCGGCAAGCATGGCAAGTCCTTGTCCTCTTTCACGCTCATCGCGACAATAGCTATGTGCGGCTCAGCGGCTCAGCATCCGAGCCCAGCTCTGGCTGCTGAGCGTGATCGCTTTCCTGGTATTACACTTACCGTGGACTCGCAGCTATATGGTAGGACTTCCGCTTATGCGCCGCCGCTCGCCCCGATGTCCATTTGCTCCCGATAACTACTTTGGCGACGCATTGATCGCCATCGCCGTTCCCGGGACCTGGCTACTTTGCAATACAATGCAGGCTTCGGGGCTTCTGTGCCCGATCCCCGCAAAGTCCATCCATCGCTTGCTCGGCGAAGTACTCGTCCAGCCACTACCATGTTCCTGGCGGCAAATATAAATATAACTCTAGGCCCATTGGTGGCCTTGGCGTTAGCTGAGATAGTGGTTTGCTTTCGGCTGGCCATCTACCAGGGCGGACTTATCGCTCTTTATGCTCCGGTAGTCTCTCTGGGCAGAACTTGTATGATGCGCTGGGCAGCTGCTGCAGTTACTCGTGCCAACTTGAACGATCAGGAATTAGTAGGGAAGGTTATATTCAAGTGAATAGCCAAAGTAACTCGTTTGTCCCGATTGTATCATACCTTTCAACACCATAAATCGCTACATGGTAGTACATGAGCTATACAGAATAAGTAACGAATGTTTGTCAACATCTGGACATGTACGGACTTCGTCGAGGCAGAACCGTTAGATCCATTTCCAGTCCATTGTGAGTGGGATCTTCCTCAGCGTCATCTGATGCGACACAGCGATGAGACGCCATAGCCCGCCGGTCGAGCTGGCACGAGAGCAATCAACGCAAGCACAACACATAATCAGAGAGCCGCCACGCACCTGTCTTCCTCACTCCAGCTATTTGGACGGAGCACAAACTGCATCTCGCACACCCAGCGCCATCCCCGCGCCTCGTCGACACTCGGGCAGCGCGCGGGGTCGACGTAACACGTGAGCATTACGCCCGGCACATGTGCTTGTGCATACACGAACACGTCGAAGAGGATGACGACGTCGTAGTTGACTTGCGGGACCGCGTCGCGTACGTTGAATGCGAACGAGTCCGGCAGGTCCAGCAGCGCGGTGAGGACGCCTGCCGTTCCCATGTGCACCGGCACGGGGCGAGAGGGCAGCTCGGGAGGAGAAGACAGATACGAGAACTGGCGAAGGGAGAAGAGTGCTTGTTGGGAGTAAGCAGAGGCTAGGTCTGAGCGGTCAGTGTCGAAGACGCGGATGTAGCTGTCAAATGGTCGGTATAATGGGTATAAGAAACGCGGGGATTACTCACTTCCTGAGCCACTCTATCGCATCTATCTGGAGCCTTTCGATCTCTGCTTCTGTCCATATCGGCTCCTCCAGACACTTGCTCACAGCTAAGCTGTCGACGACAGAAAAACTTAACTCCGGTAGTTGACTCGATTCGCGGCGGACAGGAGATTCAACTGCATCGATAGACATTGCGCGACTGTCCGCTGGCGCTGGTGAGGAGACATCGTTCTGTCTCGCACTGTGCTGATGGTTCTTGGCTACGCTCTTGTGTTCTTCCCGAGACAGACATAGCTCATCGTTGCTGTCCATCTGAGCATCGCCTGTCGCGGCATGGTCAACTGAAGAAGGCCGACACTTTGTACCTGCTGGACCTCTCGGACCTAAATCCAGACCGGATGACGGATGCGACGGGCTCCCAGTGTGCTGCCGGGACGATCCGTGCTTCTGCTTATGCAAAGCGAATAGCGATAACGGCTGCGCTCTACTTGGACTGGGCGTGCCTATCTGCATACTCTCAATGGCGGGCTGACGTTGTTGTATAGGGGGTGACAGACTGGGGGTTGGCAGATGCCTCGCTACATCCACGGAATTGACTACGGTATCTGATGATGACCGGGTGGACTGAGGGCGCTGCGAGAACGAAGGGAGTGGAGGCGTCGCTGGTATGGGCAGAATCTCTGGAGTTGCATCATGACGAGAAGCTTGCGGTGGAGAGTGGTCGTTGAGCAGTGGGTCCGAGGGTTTGGGTAGAAGATGTGGAAAACCATCTGCGTCCACCATGACCGGGGTCTGTGTCGACCAGCTGATTACCAGGCCGTCTGAGCTGCGTATATGCTGAGGAATGGCATTAGAAATTGAGCACGGGTACGTACAGCAATTTCTGGCCACCAGCTTCCACTGGGATCTCCAGCATTTGGATGCGCCTCTGAAACTCCTTGAACCTATCCGTTGTCCATGCTCTTCTGGCACTCGGATCCCGATACTTTGGCACGGGAGTTACACGGTACACGCCGCAGGTGACAGGAACAGGGTCTTGCGGGACTGAAAGGATAAGCGGCTCTTCAAGTTCTGTTTTGATTTCCAAGAAAGTTGGATTCGTTGTGGGCTGAGGAGTGAGAGGTACCTGTATTACTGGCCATCTGTTCAGGTTCGGTGATTTGTGTCCAGGATTCCGCTGCATCCCGCTTACGCGCCGGGCATCACTGGGCTCCTTATGAGAAGGCAAATCGCTGGTCTTGGCTTGGGAACGTGTACGACGAGATGCAGCAGGCGTGGTCGATGCTGAGGAGGGTTGGGAACCTGAGGCATTTGGAGGATTACCGCCCGCATGTCCTACTACCGATGTAGACTGAACGGAGCCCAACTTGCGACGCTTTAGAGGTGGAAGCTGGGAACGACCAGGGGCATGCACAACTGCGACTTTGGCCGCGATATCTGGAACGGTCACTCTAGCGTGCTGTTTACCGGAACGCGTTATTTTGGGTTGCTCTACAGCATATTCAGCCGCTCGACCGTGATCTCATGTCTAGGATACATACGCACGTCCCCGTCCATGTCTGACTCCGCCTCTCGTGTGCCTGCCGCATGCCCATCGCCATACATCCCGGGTGTGGTTCCCTTGCGTACGACACAGACAACAGATTTTCGAGCTTAGCGAGAACTAGGAACTAGAGAAAGAGGTGTATAAGCAGTGTTTAAAGAGGACATGGATGAAGTGGTTCAAACTGCATACACGCTGTTAGCGCCCGTTAAATGCTGCTTGCACGCGCGCGTCGTCGCGCCTGGACACCAGAGCGGCGGGCTGCGTCTGCCTACACGAAAGCGTCGCACTAGAACTCACCATCTTAAGGAAGCGGTAAGTCGATGGTAAGTGGTATTTTGGCTCTCGTATTCAATAATACAACTGTTAGCTGATGCTGCAAAGTTGAAAACGGCTTTACTCTTCGGTGTAAGGGGTGCCCTAACGGATTAATGGGGGTTGGGCATAATGTACAGTATCAATTTCCACAATGGCAGCACCGTTATCAGCGACGAAGTCGTTAATGAAGCAGTATATGAGCTTAACTTCCAGCTATTTACCCACGGCTAACAAATCAGACGCCCATGCAAAGGACCGCATTCACACGCTTTACTTACTCACTTGACGGGAGCCGACCATTTCTTCTGTAATGACGCACTTTATCCTGATTTTATCACTCAACACTTCCGCTGCTCGAATGACTCTCAAAGCCGGGGGATACAGCGTGAGCATTTCCGACCAACATTTACTGTGACTTTCGCGAACAGGGCCTCCAAGACGCTGGCCACACAGCTTTGTAACCTCCGTCTTCTCATCTGTTAGACTTTCAAGATAAGCCGCGCACATTGATTTGCACGGATGCCATGAGGCTTGGGATTGGGTGTATCCTGTGCAAGCGGTGTATGAACCAAGTATCCCGTTATTAGGGTTCAGATGTTCTTAAGTGCGTCCATCCTCGCAGCCTCGCAGTCGAACGTCTCCCTCTTAACTTACACCGCAACCGATATTGCACAGAGTCACCTCTGCTTCCCCCATGCACAGTGAGGTGTACGCGAGCGAACTGAAGAAGACCGTTCAAGAGGGCGAAGCCCTTTGGTTTCCCGAACCGAGCCAAGACGGCGAAGTTCAAATCGGAGACGTCGGCTACATCCACGAAGGGGCTTTTATGCGTCTATTCAATGCCATCGACCCCGAAAAGTATCCAGTCCTGACAGCTTTGGAGGATTATCGTCTTCCAGCGGCATTCGAACCACTGCGGGACAGGCGAGCCCAGCGAATAGACCAACGCCTTAGAGCTCTCGCGCCAGGGCCGTACAAGAGCAAAAGTGTAGTCACCAGAAAGGTCGAGGCATCCGCATCTGCGTGCGTAGTTCATATCTAGTTGGCTGCATTATCTCATAGTGCTCTACAGATCGGTGGCTGTTGAAACGAGCGTCGGTGCTGGGATGGAATACGAGTGCACCAAGGAGAAGGGCGCGCTTCTGATTCTGAGGAGCGACGCGAAGAAGGTGCAAGCATCCTCAGAGAAGACATTCGGGGATTACGTGGCGAAGTTCCATGACTCGTGGTGCAAGTTTGCTTTGGATCTGGGGATCGCATCCGCCGAGGCTATGGCTAGGAAGATAGTGCTGGTCTGCGGCTGGGTCAAGACGTACCCCGATTGGTCCGTTACAGCCTTCACGTCCAGCGGCAGTAAATTCCGTGCCTCGCTCGACGTCAAGACCATCGGTGTCGGCGGGATCACCGGGTCGTATTCTGGCACGGAACATGTTGAAGGGCCGGTCATGAATCGGTGGGGCGTGTACGCGCGCGCGCGCGCGCCGGAGGAGGAGCGCATCCAGAACCAGTGCATTTTCGTCAAGTGCATCTATGCAAAGCGTCGGCACTGGCCATACTTCTTCAGGGCCGGTGCGGGACCGCACCAGCTACCTGACCAACGGGATGCGAACTCCGGCCAGGATGGGCCTGCTATTGAAGTATCGAACGAACAATATCAAAGTGATACTGAAGCTGGAGACGACATGGTACGTTTGCTAATACCTGGACACCTTTCTTGCCTGAGTTAACGAGCTGTAGGTTGTCGATCAAGATTACAGTCCGATGGACGCTGTATTAGATTATATCCTAGAGGTGCGTCTTTTTTCCGCGGCTGATTATGCTGGCGTTGATGACGTCTATTCAGAGCTCGAATGCTGCAACTGCGGTTTGCAGCGATCAAGATCTCGAGGACATACTTTTTGTCAGTCTCTTTTGAAATTATATTTGTTACTACGCTGACTATGGCTTGTAGGGTGTCGAATGGCCTGAAGACCTGAGGGCGTATCTCAGAGAAACGCGTCCGAGAGTCGAAGTAAACGACGACAGCAATGGTAAATATGTATGTTCCCTCGCTGTAAATGTGATTACTAACTCAGTCCTAGTCGGAAGACTCTCATTAGAGGAGGCCATCCGAACACGCATCGAACGTGAACTCACGCCTGGTACAGAGGACGTTGATATACACTGGGGTGGCGAGGATCAAGATGGCAGACCGATCAGTCAAGATTTAGACGTCTTACCGAGCAATAGCCCACTCGGGCGTGGCGAGGTCTTGTTAGCCGATCAACGCAATCGACCCATCCAGTGGCCCCACATAATGTTCAAGGAGAAAGACGAAGAGAACAACTCTGGGCTGTCTATGTCCACATCTCCTGACGGCAAATATCTGGCCACGACGAGCGAGGACGCTGCAGTATACGTTTGGGATCTTCGAACGGGCAGGGCAGTTGGCCGGCTCGACGGGCACACTGACACTGTGTGGTCCGTTGCATTTGCGCCTGACGGTTCACGCATAGTGTCTGGCTCCGCAGATGCAACCGCGATCATCTGGGATGTCGACGTGTTCATGCACTTCGTCATCCTACAGGGGCACGAGGCTGACGTTTGGAGTGTTGCGTACTCTCCCGACGGGTCAAAGATCGCGACGGGCTCGACAGACTCCACAGTAAAGCTCTGGGACGCCAACACGGGAACGCAGCTCCACTCGTTCGGGGATCACGCTGCGCATGTTATGCACGTCATTTTCTCACCGGACGGCGTCTACCTCGCATCTTGCGCGGACACAAGCGTCATCATGTGGGATGTGGAGACGGGCACGAAGGTGTCTGAGCTGGAGGGACACGACGGCGCGATCTGGTGCCTGCGCTTCGCCCATGGCTCCGACCGCATTGTCACTGGCTCAGAGGATAACACGGCCCGCGTCTGGGACGTGCAAAGCGGCGCGGAGCTGGTCACGATCCACGAGCACATGAGCCCGGTCTGGTCCGTCGCCTTCTCGCCGGACGACAGCGAGGTTGTCTCAGGCTCGTCCGAATGCACTGTCGTTGCGTCGGACTCGTTCAGTGGAGAGCAGCTGCGCGTGTTCAGCGATGACTCAGAATCCGCAGTCGACGTCGTGGCATACTCGAATCGCGGTGACCTCCTAGCGTCTGGGACCGCGGACGGGGTCGTAAAGTTGTGGGATGCAAAAATTGGGGACTTTCTGGCTGAGTACCGGGGACACGGGGATAAAGTCAAGAGCGTCAATTTCATGCCTGATGACGGCACCCTCGTCTCTTCTTCGGAGGATGGCACCGTGAGGGCATGGAGCGTCCGCGATGTGCTGCGATTTTTCTGAACACTTCTGCAGCTACTGGAATGTTTATCGTGGCTTGCATTGTCAGCAGATACAGATGGAGAGACAAAATTTGCATATTTTTGGGTTTAAATTTTGTTTCTCACCGAATTTGCGCATCTGGTATTCTGCTACACGCTCACCTCTTTGGCAGTTTGCTCATTAGCTCTCGCATACCAATCTCGCGCTCCCGCTGGCAGTTTATTGACCATCCCACAATATTCTTCACACACCAGATAGGACATGTGTTGTGGCAGCCGGAACTAGCACGAAAAAGAAGTCGAGGCAGGTGATGCAGCTGTGCAGACGTCATTCAGCCGCCTACTCACTGTGAACGCAGATTCTGGCAGAGCTCTTCCTCTAGAAGATACGCCATTACCTCTGCAAGGCCCATTGCACCTTCGTGTAGCGAAACAGCCATACACCGCACACGCCCGCTTATAAGCGACAACCTCAGGGAATCGTTCGTAAATATGAATGCCAAGTACGTTCTCTTCAACTCTTGACACTTCTTGCAGAATTTTAGCTTAATCGCCGGTTTTCGCTAGCTCTTCCTCAGGAAGGACTGCTTCCGTATATACATTCGACCTCATGGTAGAGCGTTAGCCTAGTCTTGAAGAGTCCCGCACTTGTGGCCGCATCCGACAGTTTCGTCACCCTATACCCACGCGATTATATCTCCGCCTAATGGTCGCCCGTATAGGTGCAGAGTTTCTGTGAAAAAGCTATGCCTGTTCGCGGCTGTGCACTCAAGACATCTTGGAAGCCGTGGGTTCGACTCCGGTGCACCATTCTAGATCAAGAAATATGGAATGCAATACGTACCTGAGTCAGTCAATGTTGCCGGATGGCCTTCTTCCATTATTCGGCGGAACGGCCCTTCAGCTGGATAGCAGATTTCCGGGAGGCGCTACTTGGCGTTGCGTCCGACCGATGCGTCTTCGTCGGCCTTTTTTTACATCAGGCGGGCTGTGTCGCGGAACTCGGTGACTATTGCACATGCAGAGCTTTACCGTCTACCCAAACGACTAGGTATTCGCTCGGGGGGCGCATCTCCTAGTATGCGGCATACCGAGGCCCTGGAAACCGATGATCCAAGTATGTATCCCTCCTTTAATGCGATGGCGCACAGAGAATGAATCTATTTGAGCAGGTAGAGATTCTTCTAGAGGCAGCTGAGGATGTCCTACTGGATTATATACTGGAGGTACACTAAGTTAGGGCGACGTACGAGGATGCGAACTTATCGATTTCTAGTTATCAGGAACTTAGTTGGCTATATGCACTGATGAAGACCTTTTCGCGAAGTGAGTCTTTTGTCGATGGCTATGGTCGGCCGACACGCTCGCTGCTGATTGTGTGATTTTAACAGGAGGATGGATAGCTGGATGATCTTCTCAATTTTTTTCCACCAGAGATGCCCCAGAGCCATCGTGAGTGGAGATGGCAGTGCGTAGCACCGCCTGCAAGCAAGGAGTGCTCTGGAGTTTGCGACAATTTTTTTCAGAGTCAGGCGGACAACGAGCAGAAATGAAAATCGATCAGACTTCCGGGAATACTCCGAATCCCCAGACAGAGGCGCACAACTCGCCTGTTACTGGGATAAGTATATGCCATGATCAGCCAGGTACCATAATTCTGTTATGCGGGCTTCTCGTGAACCCTTAGCGTGCTCAGGCCGAGCGATGAGGACGAGCCGCTGCGGACAGCGGGTTACTGATCGTCTCTTCGAGAACGTTTATGGGTTGTCGATTGATGTGGGTAACCCACTGTGACACTGCCTCTGTCTGCGCGGCATCGATTCCTACTGGTGCTCTGCTGAGCAAGGACTCGAGTTCTGTTCCCACAATTCATTCAGACTGCTGTTCTGCTTATGTAACCCATCATGACACATCGGCCGTGCTCCAACATAACCGTCATCACGTAACAAGACTCCGCTGCCAAGGAAGCTCGGGAGTGGCGGTCGGACAGCTTTGTCTTTCCAAGGGCTGTGCTTCGGGTCTAGCGCATTCTGCGAGGAACTTCCCAATATGCAGTGCATGCTATTGCTGACATCGGAGACGAGTGGAAAAGGCGCCCTTGCCCTTGTCCTGGCTTGTGCGTGCCGCTTTGCTATATAGCCGCGGCCTGACTAGCCTGATCCCCTCTCAGATCCTCACATTCGCATAATCCTGGTGCCTCCGAAATATGGGCAACGGCCACTCTGTAGCTTCGGAAATGGTGAGGACTTCGAGCATTACCAAGAGACTGATCACTAAATTTTATATCCTTGTTTTCCCTTTGGTCGCCTGGTGTGCTACAGCCAACTCTTCACTTCGATAGGGAATTCAATGTCCAACTTCCAGAGGAGGTTATAGGTCATATCGTTGCCTCCCTCAGCGAAGAAGCCATCACAGCCGAACCCGGGTACAAGAATCACCTCGCCTCCTGTGCTCTGACATGTCATTCTTGGCACAAATACCTCCACCCGTACCTCTTCACGTCTCTCACCTTGCGCACACACGCGGATTTGGACGTCCTCCTCCAGCTCATCGACAGTGACGAGAGGATCCGGACGAGATTGACGCGTCTGGACCTTCATGAGACGGACGAGTGCTGGATACACCACGCACTCCACATCCTGCCGAGCCAGCTCCCCGCCGTGACCAGCCTAGGATTGCACAGCCCTAACCTTCTCGACGCCTCAGATCCCAACTGCACGTCCGACGCCCTTCGCGTCCTGTGCGCCGACCTGCCGCAGATCCGTAATCTCGAGCTCGGCGGCTCAGCATTCGACGACTTCCCGACCTTTTCCGCGTGCGTCTCTGCTTTCCCGTCTCTGACCCAGGCTCAGTACCGCGGCGTCACCTGGACTCGGCCATCGGGCGGTGCACGCGCATCCGAGCGCACGAACCCGGCTGTGGAGGTGGACACAGTTAGTGGCGGCGTGCCTTGGCTGTGGACACTCGCGAGTCCTTTTCCGGGGGAGGATACCCCTGTCCTTGCGGATGCGGATGCGGCAGTGTTCACGCGGCTGGTCGAAGTCGCGATGTACAATTCCGCCAAATGCACCGTCTCCTTGAAGTCACCCGACAGTCCTCGTGGACAGCAATGTGAGTTTGAGATCTTGATCTGGGCACTTGACGACAGTACTTATTGCCATGGTGTAGGGGAGGTGATAGTTCGCTGTGCAACGGGGAACAGCGCAGTCGTCTCTATAGCACCAGATATGTCTCGTCAGGTGAAAGGGACCCCCATTTCCACTATCCGTTCGGCATCTCTTCGTTTAACCCCCGCGGGTTCGACGGTGAACGACGAGGCCCATGAATGGATACAACACATGGCGCAGCTCGATGCTTCCTGTAACGCCCTTCCGCAAGCGGTGTCTCTCGCTCTAGACTGGGAATACGTTGGAACAGTCGAGTGGTACGTCATGCAAGACCTGAAGCATACCCTCTTCCGTCGGCTATGGGCGGCGAAGAGGCTAGTATACCACCTCACAAAAGGTACCGAGCCGCGAAGAGCTCTCTATCTTCCCATGGCATTGAGGCACAAGTAGCTTACCAGACGTGCAATCACATATACCTGACACTCGCACAGACGATACCCCCGATACCCCAGAGCCATCACATCTTAGTGTAGAGCTTGTAATTCCTACTATAGACCATCCTAATTATCAGATGATAGGTGCTGCCGCATGCGTGCCTGGCCAGATGGAAGTGGGACACATGCTGTCTCTGGAAACGCCTGTGGCAATGGAAGAACGTCAGCGTCGGCCCAAAGCTCTACAACGTCCATTTCATCGTCAGGTGGTGGAGGCGAGCCTTCATGACCCGGCTCACGACGTCAGTCTCCAGCCCGCATGCCCCATGACTTTCGTCCGGCAGACCGATAAGAATCGTCACCGTGGCCGTGGATTGTTTGGAGGAACGATTAAATTGTCTACAGGTATTAGACCACACGGAACTCTAAGCGTCTACAATAAGTTACAAATAATATGTATGGCCGTTAGAGAGCTATAACATACAGTCTAGAGTGTCTACGGTGTTTTAGCGCGTTTGTAGATAACATAAACGCGAAAACGCATCTAGTAAGGCGGCACAGCAATGTACTTCGCAAGCCTGTTCCTCAACTCTTGGCGCGACTCTGCGTAGCGCTTCTGGTAGAACCCAACGCAGCGCTCGCACGCCGCGCCGAACGTTGAGGCGATGCGCGCGTCGAGCGGTTCGAGCGCACTGCACCCGGCGTCCGCGACGATCGCATCCGTCTGCGCCTTCTCGTGGTGGTACTGCACGTCCTGCGTCGCAGGCACGCAGCGGTGCGGCGTCGGGCAGAAGAACTCGTCGTAGATGTCACACGGCGTGACCTCGAAGAGGTCCTCGACGTTCGCCGCGAGCACGTCTGTGAGCCCCTTGCGCGCGGCGAGGCACGCCGCGACGTCGTCTTCGTCGAGCCGCGCGCGCTGTTCGCTCGCCTCGCCTCGCAGCGCGCTGTGTGCCAGCGTCCCGGTCGGCAGCCGGCAGCAGTCGTAGAGCGCGGACAGGTGGAACTCAGGGAGGTGCAGCAGTCGGGAGAGATTCGCAATCTCGATGGGGAGCACGTCATTCTCGCCGATGATGAAGGAGCCGTAGTCTTTGCGCAGCTTGTCCCATTCTTCGATGTCCTTCGGGTAGTGCCGCCTGAGGCAGAGCATGGCTTCTTCGAGGAGATCTTCGGCGTCGTACTTCTCACCAAGTAGGAGCAGCGCCTTGACAGCAGGCCACGTTGGCTTTTTTTCCATGGAGAAGCAATATCTGGAGGTATGGACATTAATGTGGTTCGGCTTGAGGGTAATGATAGTCGCAGACGTACTTGCGAGCATCGTAGATAGCGTCCAAGAAATAAAATAGGTCTTCAGGCGAATCGGGTAAGTGAATTACGACACATCCAGGAGACTGCGGGGCATCAGGAGGTTGAGGGAAGCTGAACATGTCGTTGAAGACGGTGGACTTCCGCGTAACGACACTGCGGTGGACGCGGAAGGTGACGCGGTTATCGGCGATTAGGACGAGATTGCCGTCATCCATCCACATCTCGGGATGGCGAGGGTATCCTGTAAGTGTCCATGCCAGGTCGTCAGCACCCAAGGACAGTACGAGTCAAACGTTTCAACGCACCAAAATCCAGGGTGTCTGGCTCTGTGGTGACGCAACTCATCGTGACCTGCACGTTGCTTGACCAGGTATGGCTGCACAAAGCGTACTTGTCCATCAGTCAAAACACGCAGCGCAAGTAACGCCATTGCGAGACGCACCTGGTGGAAGGGGAAATGTCGAGGTCAAGGTCTGAATTTCACCCTCATAATTTTTCGTCGCCTGTATTTCACCGTTGAGCTCATCGTGCGTCTAACCCGCACTGGTGTCCTGAGATGGCAACCCTGGAGGTATACCTGAAATTTGGCCCCTGGCGCGGCGTCGGTCAGCGTCGGCGGCGCCTGCGCCCTTGCTGACAGATGATTAGTCTGCTTCCGCGCTGTGTAACCCACGACCGCCTTGTGCTTCCGCACAAGGAGCTGGGAATGACTCCGGCCAAGAGGGTCGAATGCCAATTCACGTATAGAGCCCCAATGATCCTGTGAACCTGCTAAAATCAAATCCAAAAGTACCGGGGAAAGGACCAAAGGTGGTCAAATGATAAAGCTCAAAGTCATAGCTGGGGATCTCGGCCCAATCAAATCATGATTGGCCGTTCCACAGCGTGTAGACAGACATATTCACCAAGACAAATCTGACACAGATATCGTCAATAACTTCGATATGCTGTGTTGTATATTAAGTGGAAGAACAATATGACTGACCAAGATCTGGTAACAAGACCCAGTCGCCACTGACTATACGCGTGGACAGCACTCGGCTATACCCTAAACCTATGCCATGGGTAGGACATACAGGCCCGTACATCAAGACATGCTGATGCGAAATATCATATATGCGCAGCCAATATTGCAGTCTGCGCAAGAATTCGAAGCAGTGGAGGAGCGGTGTCTTCGAGGTGACGGTATACCTTTCCCGTGAGTTGCCAAGGCTCATAGTTTTCACCTTGTTGTTAGCGGAGATAAGCAACACGCCGCACAGAGAGTTGAAAGCAGCATTTCGAGACCGCCAGGTGCACGATAAAGTGTTCAATGCGAGATGGTGATGGTGGCAGAGAAGGGAGGCACCGAGAACGCATGAGCAACACAGGCGCCAGGGCACAGCACTGCGCAGGACGACCTGAACACTGACGCCGACATGGTACCCCGCTGCCAATTGCAAGGCTCTAATAGCAGCCTTCTGCTCTCCACGGTCATTCTCTCCTCTTCCTACGACCGCGAGCGATGAGTCTCGACCAGAATCTGTTCACACTCAACTTTGTGCCCGGCAAGGACGATCCTAATGTTACGGAGCTTGTCGATCCCGCCGAGCGACCGCATTACCGTAAGGAGCGTGTACCGGGGAGCGTGTACCAGATGAACGTGTATGGTGAGCTATGTACAGCGCACTGGAAGCTGTAGGGGATGCTGAAAGGATAAAGACCCGCTTTCGCAGTCGCTCCTGGCGTCTGCAACCGCCCCGGCCGCAACGAGCAAGCACAAGACGATAGAGCTGCACAACCCATCGCATATCGTAGAGCTCAAGCATACAGGTACTCTGACGTTCAAATGGAGGTTTGCATGGGAAGAGTGCGTCCTTGTCGCTGCTAGGCTATCGTTGAACTAACGGACGCAGGCACGAGTTTGAGTGGCGGCGCGAAGAGTGCTTCATTATCCGGAAACCCGATCCTGCCGTCCTGGTCGCGGTGACCAAGGAGCCTTCGGGACGGCTGAAAACGTCGTCGGTGCAAATTCTGGACTACAACCTGAACAGGCACGTCCTCTTGCGCGCTGCGCTATGCGATCGCTCATCGTGCCAACAGATTCGACATTAATGACCGCAAAGGGCTTGAGATCGTCATCCTAACTGCGCTGCTGACGTTCCAAGACTCGAACGAGGCCTACCACACGCCGTCTTCGGACCCGCCAACTCCGGCGCAGACAAGCAGCGGCCTTTCGGGGTTCTTCGGTACTGTACGGCGTGCATCGGACACCACTCTCCAAACTCTCAGCAAACAAACTTCGGAGGTCGACGCACCGCCTCCGCTGCCACCGAAACCGGAGCCGAGGGTCGGTGTGGAAAGGATAGCGGAGGTACACGCCATCAGGGCAGCGCAGGGAGAGGGCGAGTCGAACGAGGTGCTCGTAGCGGATGAGGGTACAATTGAAGATTATGCCAAGTATGCTGAAGGCTTACTCAAGGTGCGCATATATGCGTGTGCTTTCGTGGAGATGGTGACTGAGTGACTTCCTCTAGGATGATTCGATGCTATTCGCTACGATACGCTCGGCGTCGGCAAGCGAGGTGCCAAAGGTGCTGCAGGTCGTTGAGCACACGAAACGTCTTCGTCATAAGGCTGGTGCGTCAACATATGATAAATCTACATGCAGCTGTCCTTACGGCATACTCTAGGTCTAGACGAGGAACAGGAGCTATATCAATATGTCGTGTACGCTACTGAGAAGCCGAAAGGCCCCAAACGCATCAACCTCGACGGTCCTGCGCCGTCATCTCATAAGGCATATACACCTCCGACCAGTCTAAGAGTACACTTAAGCAAGATTGACATGCCCGAGCTGAAGCCTAAACCCGACGTCACCCCCACAAAGATGCGTTCGCCGACTCAAAACCCTCCTCCTGTGCCGCCGCGGGTGGCAGAGGAGGAGAGGCTGGCTAAGTCGTCAAAGCAGAGCAAGCGAGAGGAGCGGGAACGGGAGAAGGAAAGGGAGCGAGAGAGATTGCGGGAGCTAGAGCGGGAGAAGGCGCAGAAGAAGGCTGAGAAAGAAGCGCAGAAAAGGGCGGAGAAGGATGCGAAGAAGAATAAGAAGGGTGCGCTTGAGCTGTCCCTGCTTTTCGCTGTTGCTGTGCTAACGTTCCGGACAGCCTCGTCGTCCAATCCCGAGGTGAACAGGTTGACGAGACCTCATCCGACTGTTGTCACTTCTCCTAGCCCTGCCTCGGCCTCGCCTTATTCATACGGCCCTCCCCTCGTCTACATACCAGATGCCCCAGTCTGGACCATTTCATCATGCGCCACCGCCGAGACCTGCGTCGGCATTCTATGGAGGCTCCAGCTTCTCGTCACAAATGCCGCCTCCACCTCACCATCCCGCTACCCTGCCACCCCGACCGTCTAGCTTCTATGGCCCCGGCACTTTCATGAATCCCTATCCTGGACAGAACACTTCCACCCCTGGCTTCCGTCCTTTTTTGCAACCTTAAACCATTCGGGCTATTTGCCGTGCTATTATTGTGTCAGCCGCTACCGCATCTTGCATATGTGTAACTTATTCTTAGATAAGGTATGTGAAAACGGAATAATTAAACCCTACTACTAGGTTCGTTCCCACCGCAGTCACGAGAGTTCTGCCAATGGCTGGCAACCGGGTCTACCTTCAGCAGACGTCTGAAGATCTCAACACCTGAGGAATATGCCCACGTCTTATCAACACGGCCGTGAGAGCTAAGTACGGATGTATGACAGAGACAATGACGGCGTCAAGCTATGAAGGGCCACTATTTCAGAAACGAGTCGAGCTTATGTGCCATATTCTCTGGCCATTCACAGAGAATGCTTGGCAGGTGCATATTCCTAACGGCGACAGTACTAGTGACGCATAGCGACGAACTCGCTCCTTTTCGCGTTAGCCTCAAAAACGGCGGTAGCGCCGTTGCGGACGTACTATCTCTCTCACCATCCACCATCTCCCTGGCACTTGTCGTTGCACATGACGGCTCAACGACAGGCCCGCCTCTACCGCAATGCGCATCGCGGGGCTCGTGCAAGGATGAAACGTGATTTATACCAGTAAATTTGGGCAGCCGATCCCCGACCCTGCATGAGTTTTCATGCCATCGAAGTTATCGTACGCGCTAACGAAGGTGAATATATGCTAGCCATTCGCTCAACATTGGCGGCATCCCGTACCGGGGTGTCTGGAGAAGCATTAAGCTTAGAATCACGTTGATCCAGGAACGCATCGTCTATCCTTGTGGCAGCTCCGCGCGTGGGTCCTTCTGGGTATGTTACGGACATATACACCTTTCTTGTGCGCGCATTGACGTTGTGGCCCTTTAGGCCCAAAAGACTGGTTAAGGCCAAGTCCTTGCAGTGCGGGCAGCAACCTCTGACTTACGTTCGGTTTTTAACCGTCACGTAGGGGATATGTATCACCATTCACTGTGAAATTCTACACTGAGGATGGTGAGCTGTTGTCGTTACATTCTCTGCATTTTCTCGCACCGGATGACAGGTGGTCATGAGCTTGTCGGCTCTGAACCTCGCGGTAATATTCGTTTTGTGACCCGGGCAACATCAGAAACTGACATTCCATTCCGCCAGGAGAGACGCATTCAAAGCCTCTCATGTCACTGTAACGCAGTCCGAACAACTTCCTGACTATACCGCTTGGTTTGACATTTTGCCGGCGTTTCGTGTTTCGTAATTATCGCGACGCTCAGTGCCACCATCTCGGCAGCGCAACCATCCACCAGATCTCCTTCGACTGCCCTTTCACGGCGAAGTACGAAAACAGTCGCCGATTAAGTTTCCACATACACTGATAGTAATCACCAGATACAGCTCAACTAGCAACTACAACGATGCGCATCGACGACAATAGCGGCAGCAAGCTGCATTACGTGGAGGGCAAACCGTCAGAGTACCACCAGTGCTTTCGCGCAGGGGGCGTGAGAATGTGTACCAGAGCACCACCCGTCTTCCTAAGGCAAGCTCACGCTACCCCGTTCCTTGAGCTCAGCCAACCGGTCGACGATGTTCAGCATGCCAATGGTATCGTTCAGAGGAACTGTTACAAACAGAGGTTCGCCATCTCGCCTAACTAAGCCAATGATGTCTGCAACCTGCTTCCGAGGCACGAAGCCTAAACGCTCGAAGAGAACACAGAGAGGGCTCCGCAGGCACATCTAGATCGGCCGTCAAGAACATGCAGTCCACGTCGCCTCAGACGAAGACGCTTATGGGCATACCTTATGGTGGGAAGTCCGTGTAGTTTCCCGCGTCGTAATCACCGTCGTCTGAATTGTATTGACTTCCGTCAGGCATATCCCCTACAATGATGTCATCCGTAGAACGACACAGACCATGAGACTTGCATGCCCCAGTATGGCTGCAGGCTCGGAGTCCCCGAAACTTTTAACTCGAGGGTCGCGGTGGAAAAGCGGGCTGGTGCACTTTCAACAGCCGACGCATCTCACGGTCTCCGGTATACCGTAGCGTCTACAGGCACGGGGCCAGACGTTAGGGTGCGCATCCGCTTTCATGTCTTGAAACATATCTCATTGAGGTATGGCCTCGCAACAATCGGATAAATCGGCTTTGCAGTCTGCAACTCCGGTTCGCTGTCAGGAACCTGGCGGATGTACAGCGGCTAGGCTCTTCGATGAGGTATGTATGAGAAGCGGATCTGTCGGATAATCTCTTACAATCTCCGTCAGTTTATGTCGGCCGATTGTCTAGATCTTGGATTTCAGGGTCAACTAGTCCTTCGTCAATCATGCGGTCGGGAAACTTGGGGATTGAGAGGAAAGCGGCATCAATTAAAAACTGTCCCAGAGCGCTGGCCGACCCTGAGGAGAAGTGTTGCGATCTGTCACTTCTGTGAAGGCTTCTCACGGCCAAGCTTTCTTTTTCCACACAACCGTCGCCACAAAGCTAATATGGCCCCTAGAACAGAATGGAATCTGCTGTGCGTCGTATCGCTTCATTCTCTCGTCGGTTCCACCCATGGTGGCCCTTAGAGGCTGGGGCGGCGTTGGAATGGGCGAGGGACCCAAGTTGTGCGCGAACATGTAACTGTCTACCTAGTAGTGCTGTGCCGATGTTGATGCTCGTTCACGGGAGCTATCGCTGTTGTTGCATCACATCGCTGCTATCAGGCGTCCGCGGGCCCGCGACCATTGCGTCGGCAGCTCATCAAGGAATTCCCAAAAGCTTCGTCTGTCCATCCGCATTTGTTCCCCGCCACCATGCTAATGAAGATGCCAAACAGTGTCCCGCCGCAGTTCCGTAGGCAAACGTCGACAGTGCATTCCGACTCCGGATACGCCTCTTACCGGTAGATCATGCAAGTCCAATCTACTCTTCGCTCTTTTGACCTCTCCGGAATACGAGTATCGATATAACAAGCTGTGCTTATGTCAGGGCAGACGATGGTAAGGCGAAACATGCTATCCGGCTTGCTGTGATCTGAGACCAAGTGCGCAACACACCAGGTACTGCTCTCCGACGCAGCCCGAGCGCACTCCTAGGCGCGGTACTCCCGCCCCCCACTGTCTCCGCCTCCGTTCCTTGTCGCATTACGGGTGGGCCCTGGAACGCACGTCGGACGATGTAATTTGCAGCCGCACTAGGCTTACAGCCAACTCAGGCCTCAGGGCCAGCCTATAGGGTATAAAAACGCGAAAGGGGTCGTCGTAGTCCTTCAGTGCACTAAGCATCCTCTCCCCAGCCGACCCAGCCATGTTGTCCGCCCTCACGCTGCTCTCTGCTCTCTGCCTCCCCTTCCTTGCCCAAGCATCCCCCACGCTTGAGGCACGGTGCGACGCACCGAGTCGTGCTGGCCAGGGGTCGATCTGCTCCACCAAGGGGTTCGACATCGAGTCCATGTTCAACGAGATGCTGGGAGCAGACAACAAGTTGACACCGCCCGTCGCCGAGTACCCCACCTTCGTCGCCCTGTCCGTCGGCTACCAGAACTACAGCTGCCTCGACAACGGCACCTACTTGTACGTCTTTTCTTTTTCCCTTCCAACTTTAGCTGCACTAGTATTAATCAATCTTTCGTGTTCCACAGCAACATCGGTGCCGTTACCGAGCTCTTCGACATCTCCTGCCTTCCCATGGAGAGTGTCCCGGACTTCACCACCTTCGTCTCCAACTTCTGGGAGGCTGCCGGCGAGGGCGTGTCGCCGCAGGAGGTCATCAACATCGCGACCCAGGGCGTGAGCTCCAACTTCTCGCTCGGCATCCACTACTGGATCCCGAGCCCGCTCGACCCGACCAACCCGCTTGCGATCAACTCCGTGTGGGACTTCAGCCAGCAGCGTCTGATGAACGACCCTAACGTGAAGAACGCGTTCGTCGTTGGCGGGGACACGGCGATGGTCCCGTCTCCGGACAACGCGACTTTCGACGCGCCGTGGATCAGCTCGGCTGCGATTGTGGTCAACGGCACACAAGACGGCATGCTTGCGGACCAGATCTACCGGATCCACTCCAACGACGGCAACTTCCCTGTTGGGGTACGTGACGATCTGCCTGCTGGGATTATCATTGCAGAGACTGACGTCGGTTGCAGAACTGCACTCCTGGCCAGCCCGACACTCTGGTCAAGTCGACGCTGAACTTCTGTACGTTTACTCTCTGCTTTAATCGCGAGTTGGTGTTGACCGGTGCATATTTGCAGGGATGTACGGTGGTGCTTGGGCTGACACCATCTTCTAAGTGATTAAGCCGCGCCTGAAGTGAGATGCGAGTTCCGTAGATGCTTGTGTAGAGCCTTAGACCCTCGGCTCCACGACTTTTCGACTTCTCATACTGTTTAGATATAGCATTTGTAGTGGTTTTGGTTCCCAGTACGCATTAAGTGCATGTGCTGGTTCCCGCGAACCTTAATCGAATCACGTTAATACCTGCCGCATCTGATGTGTCTAACGAGCTGTTTCAACTCCCTGATATTTTTGGCTCAGCTATGGTAAACCCTTACTATCTCCGAGAATTCGACGCGCAGTCCAAGCCTGCAACCGCTGCAGGGTTCGACCTGCGCCAGTGGCCCGTGGATGCCGCTGGTGCTGCGCATGTCCGCCGCGAGCCTGCAGCACTTCGGACGCCTCCGATTCCTGGCACCTCTTTTCCTAATATATTTGGTCATTTTCTATCACAGCACTTTGCTGTTCCGCCGGGAACCTGGCATAAGAAAATCTGAAGACGCCTGTCTAGTTCCTAACACAATCTGTCGTCGTTCGCTTCGCGAAGAGCCTCATGTGTCAGCTCTGATAATAATCTCCGAGGTGCAGAAATGCAGGTGTAACCATATCATACACGATATAAGACGTGGACACGTTATACTACGACATTCAATGGGTGTACTCAAGATACGCATATATCCACGAGAGCGTGCCTGTTTCGTCCCGCCCGTAGTACAGTTCAAAACAATGGACAAAAAAGCACTTGAAGTACTAGTTCTCATTGATACCCGGCGTCTCTGCTTTCATCAACGTTGTTATTTTATTCTGGGCCAGAGGAGACTTTGACATGTTACACCGGGCGTCCGATACGAACATGTGCAGGTATCTGGACAGTAGTTGATATTCGCTGGCCAGGCATTATACCGATCCTCTAAATAAGCATTTTTATTTATTTAACGTATGCACGAGAATAGCCACTCAGAACACTCATTCAAGACGAACAGGCGGTTTGAAAACTCTCTCTCTGAAGCAAAATAGTTCGATTGGACAACTACAGCAGAGAGATAAACAGCTAGTAATACAAGTACAATTCGTTATGGATGCATCGATACTTTTTTTCTCAGGAAACAAGAATTGTCAGCTTTGTAGCGGTGCCATCTCTGTGTGCCATACTGCTCTGTATCTGCCTACTCGAAGACATCCGTGGCGAATCTGCCCTTGACGATCTTGTTAAATGTTTCGGCGGCTTCAGCTGGTTCGAGGTTTCGCTCGGCCTGCACGATCTTGACCAGTCTTTCCTTGACTGCGGCGGCCATGCGACCTGCGCCGCAAACGTACATCTACGGAAACAAGATGGTTACTTCAGTGTACCGCACAAGGCGTATTATCTGGCGTACAGACCTTCGCGCCGGCGTTCCAGGTAGTGACAATATCGGCGCGGTCCGCCCAAACACGGCTTCAAAATAGCTCAGCTCGGCCGTCTGTTGACAAAAAGAAATCACCAGCTTACTCTTGAACGTACTTGCAATCGGCGGAATGGTCTGCATCCCTCGAGAACGCGGGCCGAACATCGACAATGCCCAACTCGCTCCACACCTTGAGGTCGTTGTCAGAGTACAGGAAGTCTTGCGACGGCGACCGGCACCCAAAGAAGAGGATGCTCTTCGCGACCTCCCGCCCGGACTGCTTCTGCACTGCACGCTCCTGCAAGAACCCGCGCATCGGCGCCAGGCCGGACCCTGCACAGAACATCACCAGCGGCACGCTCGGATCCGCGGGCGGGTGGAACGCCGCGTTCGACGGCCGCACCGCGAGCTGCACTCGGTCGCCGGGGCGCAGGCCTGCGAGGTACGTTGACGCGACGCCGAGGAACGGCTCTCGGCGCCCTGAGATCGCGGGTGCCTCGAGCACGCTGATCGTCAGCGACACCTGCTGCGGGTCCGCAAGCGGCGACGACGAGATCGAGTACTGCCGGACGCGCATGCTCGGGAGCAGCTGAAGGAAGAGCGCGAAGGAGATGTTGGTCTGCGGGTGCTCCTCGAGGATGTCGAGCACGCTGAGACGCTTGGCTTGGACTTTCTCGGCGTAGGCGTCCGACAGGCCCTTCAGAGCTGTCTTTGCTTCTTCGGATTTGGCCGCTTCGGCAAGGACACGCAGGTCCCGTGTGGTCGCTGGTTGAGAGAGCTCGATGTATCCGCTGAGAAGAGACGAGACATTGATAGGACGCCCTGTCGGCAAGGGGGATGGTCCAGCTGCCGAGATAGTAATCTATATCGTGGTCAAATTCAACTCCGCAAGATAAATCTTGCAATGCGCGCACCTCTTGTTCGGCAAGTAGACCAAAGTGAGAAAGGGCACGCTGTACATCTCGTTGCGGGTTCGTCGGAAGACTGCATTCACGGATCAGACAGGAGAAAATGAGATACTGAAGGGCGCTTACATGGCGAGGTAATCTCCAGTGCGGAAGGTAAGTCCCTCAGGAAGCCGGAATTCTAAAGGTAGCCATAAGCGAATCGCACCTCCACTGCCTAGCGAATGACCCACCGATATGACGTTTCGCTGGCGCGCCAGGGCTAGTGAGCACCCTGTTCTCAAGCACAGTGCCCAGCGAAGTATCAGGCTGACGGAGGATGCTAGCTCTTGCAGTCCCAGCGTCCACCGTCTGCACTTGAATGCCTTCCGCCAGGCCCTCCGCCTTCGTCGTCCCATAAGCCTACAAACCCAGTCAGCACACGCTACCGCAACGCTTCTCCGATATGACCCACCTTCTGCAACGCCTCCCAGAGCCCCGCCTCCCACTTTTCGAACGCCTCAAAGAGCTCGCTCGAGCCTGCGTCGCCCTCACCACGGGGCACGACGCGTGTGCCGCCGCGCGCGGCGAGCGTGTCGTCGCACAGTGCCGGGACGCGCTGGTACGTGCCTGCCCAGTCCTTATTGCCGCATCCGAAGACGGCGAAGGCAACCCGCGCGAGCGCCGCGCCTTCGAGCGCGGTGAGCCACGAGACGAAGTGCGCGGCGTTGTCTGCAGGCTGGCCTGCAGGGAGTTGGTTAGGTACTGCGAGGTGTCATCGAAATTATGGGAGTGCGCACCTTCGAAGGATGCGGTGACGATGACGACGGGGCCGTCGCTTGGCAGGTGACCAGAGGCTGAGTCGAGCGTGCCAATCGTAGCCCTGAAACCTGAGATGCTGTCGTCAGCCTTGTTCCATGAGAATGGCAGGGGCGACTCACCATGAGCGGCAGCGTCCGACGCGATTCTCTGCGCGAAGGCCTCACACGTGCCCGTGTTCGACCCATACAGCACATACAACAGTTCTCTGCCCACACCGTCATCCCCGGGCGCCGCCGCCTGAGGAGCGACACCGCTCTGGTCTCGCAGAAGTGTCGACGACGGCGTCGGGACGGGCACGATCGACGGCTTGTCCGTGCGCGGGATCGCGTGGATGTAAAAGTCGTGCGGCTTGATCGTCAGCGTCTGCTTCAGCTGCAGGTCGTACGACGGGTCGTGCATGACGAACGTGAAGCGCTGCATGAGGTAGACGAGCGTGATCTGGGCCTCTTGCCAGGCGAACGGCCGGCCCTGCGCAGCCTGTCAGCAGGGAACATGGGGTGTAGCGGGGGCACGTACGATGCAGCCTCTCATGCCGAAGCCGAACGGCTGCCACGCCTCAGCCTAGGAGTCAGGTGGTCAGTGCCCCGCTCGGGGTGCTCATTAGACAAAGACATACCGGGAGCGCCTCGAACTTGCCATCGAGCATCCGCTCGGGACGGAACTCTTCGGCCTACACGAACGAGTCAGCACGTCTCCAGGAACCCGCGGACGACGCGCACGCACATCCTCTCCCCACACCTTGGGGTCGCGATGGATCATGTAGATGCCACAGTAGATATTGTCGTCTTTCTTGACCGCGTACTTCCCTCCCAGCAGCGTGTCTTCACTCGGAGCCGTGCCACGCATGGGGGCCGGAGGTCCAAGACGGAGTGACTCTCGCATCACCGCTGCAAATCGACGGTAAACGGTCAGTTCTGCGCGTGCTGGACGTGAGCGGTGGCAGTACCGATGAGATAGGGGAGCTTGTGGACGTCATCGACGGTCATCGCACGGCTCCCGATCATGGTGTCGACCTCCTCGCGCAGCTTGCGCATGGCCTCGGGGGTCTTGAGGAGGTAGTACATGATAAAAGTAAGCATGCCTGTCGTTCGGTGAAATTATTACAAAGAGACGTGATGGAAAGCAAGGAACGACAAACCTGAGGTGGTCTCGTGGCCGGCAATGAGGAAGGTGAGAAGCTAGGGTGAGAAGCTTGAGCAAGGGCAGAGATACAGATGCCTTGTGGAACGTACGTTGTTCTTGATGGTCTGCTCCGACAGACCCTGCCCCGTCTCCTTGTCCTTTCCGTGCATCATCAGATTCAGAATATCTTTCTTGTCCGTCGGGTTGGCTTTACGCTGCTCATAGACTGTCGTCGCACCATCAGTATACTGACTTGAGCGACGAGCATAGAAGCGTACTATCGTTGACATAGTTTTGCATAATCTTGTTGTCTTCCTCGTACTTCGAGTTCGTCCCGCGCATGAACGGCTGGACGATCCCAGGCCTGAGGGCGCGATTGCCGCTCTCAAAGAGGAAGTCGGCCATGGCCCGAGCGAATGGATGCACCCCTTCCTGCGCAGGGTAAGAACGTTGCTTTAGCTGCTAACGGGGACTTACGACATAGAAGCTGTTCATGCTGGCACAAAAAAGAGACATAAATAGCTTGTCACTTTTCGTGGCGCCACGACTTACCGGTAGGACATCGCACAAAAGGTGATTGCCTCGAAGGTAAGGGCGGTGAAGTCTTGGGCGGGATCGATCTTGTAGCGGGGCCCGAACCTACAGACAGGTGGTCGGCTGACGCGGTCAATTTTGGCTTTATGGCGCCCACCTTTCCCATTTCTGTACAAGCTGAGTGATAACGTCCACCATGTCGTCGAACATGTTCCGAGTGTTCATCGTGCTGAACGCAGGCATAAGGATGCGATCTATGAGGGCACCGTCGTTCAGGATTGCCTCGATAACAGAGGGTGCACACTTACGAGCGAGGTACCAGTTTTGCTCTTGTGGAACATGAGCCTACATTACCGAGTTAGGAGCCATCGCTGATCCTTTGACGGCAGGATCCTTACCGTAAACAAACCATCGCCAACGGCGTTACGCACTTGGTCTAGTGCCGCACGTGAAGTCTTGTGGAACCGCTTCTCATCTGACACCTCGTGCAGAAGTTCCTGGGTGCAAACGACGATAATCTTGCTGCCTACACAGAACGGTCAGAATCCACACAAAACGTAGCCGTAGCTGTGACTTACCGAGTAAATTGAGCTGGTAAATCTCGCCGTACTGCTTGGCAAGGAGATGGTAGGAGTGAATCGCCACCTCGCGGTCGATCATCGTCGCATGACCCAAGAACGGGATGGACGGTGGTGAAGGGATAGGAGTGGTCATGGTTGTGCTGTGGGACACTGATAGCTCATCGGTGTCCGTAGCACGTCTTATATACGGTTTGGAGAACTGTTTCGTGGCGCTCCTCTACGAGGTCAAGTGGCCTCTTGAGAGGCTGGCATGCTCCCTTGCTCACGCTTGACCGATACCGTGAGCCAGTTAATTCAAGCCCGTGCGTCGAGGAATTTCCATCTCCTTTACGACGGGTACATATCTATGATGAAGCATCAGTTGCTCGTTAGCCCTTCATTTGAACGATTAGCGAGGTCAATGTTGATCTTCGAGCGGAACACTGGGAGCAAGCACAAGACGAATTTCATATGCCTTTCTGGCGCGCGGTCACAGACGGCGATTTACATGCTGGGGCGGCTTGGGCTGCGCGAGTGGGCACAGGAAGACCGTGGGCACCCAGGAACAAGCGACCTGCAAGGTTAGTCCGGCAAATCCCGAGATAAGGCGAGGCGCTATCTGTAATCTAATCTTAGCGCTACAGGCTGCTTGAAGCCGCGAGCCCGTCACTCGTCAGGCTTGGAAGGCTCTTCAGAGATCTCATAAAGTGAGTTTTCAAAGGTTTATGAAGACTAGCGGCGGCGCGCATGCATGAAATGTCTAGGTCATCTCCCCTCCCAGCTGTGCTCGTGTGCTGCATCCTCAAGCGACGCTCGACCTGCGAGAGTTTACATCATTCTCAACGTGGGGACCTGGCATCGCGTGCTCAACAGGATAGGTACCATCCTAAATGAACTGGAGTTGGGTTGTTATCGCGCCTTCAGCTATTTAAATCTGTTCACCGTAGAGGTTATACGGGGACGCCTTCCTCCGCCGATAATGATGGCAATATCAGGCTCGGGTCCTTCCGTGACACCCCACTCCGACACCCGTCATCCGGCGCTACATAGCTTCAATATCTCCCGCGGCGGTTTGTACCTGGAAAAGCCGACCAGGCTCGAACCTGGATTGCGACGCGCTGGCCCGCTCAGACTTGGATAGGTCCAGGGAAGACTGTGCTCGTGGAGCGGGTATAGCAACGGGTATAGCAGTCTGCCGCATGTCCCGTTTGACAGGTGTGACAACAGCACGAACCAGCATTCGTTATCTTAGCATGTCACCAGTGCGCCTTGTGCGAAGTGCGCCGCAGGTCAAGCTCCATGCCCAGGGGTATGTTGCAGGCTCGGCTATCGCAGTCACAGCCTGTTGCCTGCGGCGTCGCATTGTATTGGATCACATTGACAGAGCTCAGGGCGAACAACTCTTACATTTGGAGCCACGGCGTATATAAGGTATGAGCCTAGTTTTTTGATCTGTAGTTTCACCATCCAACATGCCTTTCGCGCGCATAGATGAGATGGGCATAATTCTCCACTACACCGATAGCGGCGCTCCTCCAGGAGCATCGGATTACACCACCGTCGTCCTTGTCCACGGGGCGACCATTAACAGCGGTCCGCGTGTTTCTCTCGTCCTTCCTCATCTACCGGCTGACTGGATCTGTTTCCCCAGGGATCTTCGAGCGCATGTTTCCCTACGCCACAAAACACGGCCTGCGCCTGATCGCCATGAACATGCGCGACTACGCCGGCTCGACACCGTACACGACTGCAGAGCTTGCGGCATTCGTGGGCGACGATGTCGAGGTGCAGGCCTCTGCGGTGCGTAGCTCGGGACGCGAGCTCGCTGGGTTCCTCGTGTACGTGTGCCAAGTGCTCAAGATCCCCGCGCGGACGATGCGCGACGGGAAGGCGTATGGCGGACTCGCTTTCCTGACGTGGTCATTTGGCACCATGGGCCTCCTCTCCATCTTTGGGGACCCCAAGACCCTGGACGACGCGCAGAGGGCGGCGCTCCAGCCGTACCTCCGCACGGCATTTGCCCATGGTGTGTGCATCCGACCTGCGCGCTCCTCGATACACCTGAGCGTCCGAGTCTACAGACCCTCCAGCGTTCCTGTACGGCGAAGACCCGGATGTGGGGCTGCCCACGCCCTTCAACGACCCGACGGTTCTGGACGGAGAAATGCCCGCAGCATTCGGCAGCTGGGTCTCGGGCTACTACACCGCCGTGCCCGACGTCGCGCACATCACGCCAGAGGTTCTCCACGCCCGCAGAGAGGAGCGGCCCCCGACGCTGCACGCGATGGCAGCAGAAGATTCTGAGCGCATCTTCGAGCCGGACAACCTCTTCCGCGCGTGCGCCACCGCCATGCAGGTCCCGCTGTCTGTCCACAGACACCAGTTCCACCGCACACTCTTCGACACAGATCCCGTGTTCCCGGACGTGAAGGTGGTTGCGCTGTGGTGCGACCGCGCCCCCTGGCCGACGGTCTGGTCGGCAAAAGTTCTGCACGAGCTCCTGCAGGAGCAGACGGCCCCTGGGCAACGAAGGCGAGACATGTCGCTGGTCAAGATTGAGGGCGCCAATCATGTTGTGAGTGGCCTGTCAGGATGCGGTGTTGTCTTGCAGCTGACAATATCGACAGTATCACTGGGATGAACCCGAGCGTATGGTCCAAATCCTGTGTGAAAACATCTAAGTAGTTCCGGGATTCCGGATAGCCTGGATCGCCCTGAATAGCTGCTTGCTGTGCGGAGGTGGTCGTGTATCACCGACAAAAATGTATGTATTTGCATATGACAGCCTGGAGACGACTCGTTGGCTTGAATGACGAGTGTATCGAGGACTTGACTACAGAAGGCGCGACATCACACACATACGTCATTAACGAGAACATCACACAAACAAAGTTCAATAATTTAGTGTGGGCTCTGCCTTACGAAGGGCCTCCAGTATGTTATCACGAGACCAGCAGCCATTTACAGCCGCAGTGTCTTGGGGAGACGACGCGACCATGTCCAAGTCGGAAGAGTAGTTGCGGAGGAGGAGAACGGCAGGCGAGACAGCATCGATCCACGCCTCGAACCAGGGCCTCCACGGCTCGAAAAGAGGTGTCATCGGCACGCCAGGAAGCCCCTTGGCCCAGCTACAGCGCGCATCCCGAAGGAGCTCGAATTTGATCACGGCCAACATCTGAAGGGGGCCAAACTCCCAATCTAGCACCTGCCGGATGATGCGTTGTTTGAGCCGAGAGGGCGGCTCCTCGCACATGAAGGAGCACCATAGGGCCACGTACAGCAACGACTCATAGTCGTGCCGCAGGCGATGTACGATAGGTCTCTCGTAGATAGTGTGCGGCTCGTTGAGGGTTTCCCAGGACGTGAATGGGAGTGTGCGAGCCCTGTGGCGCTTTGATGTCGCGTCTGCTATCGGTGTCCCGCTAGCTGTCACTCTTGTAGCAAGGTCGAAGTCGTTGAGCACAAATAGGGGTTTGCCATCAGGCCCCTCTCCAGCAACGATGATATTGCTGTAGTTGATATTTTGATGCAGAACTCCTGCGTCATAGAACAGATGGTGAAGGCCTAGCGAGGAATAACGTATTAATATTAACAACCGCAACGGCGCACACGGGGTTAACTCACAATTCATCATCTGGTACACCATCTCGCCGAGGTATCTCGACGAATGCGAGAAGAGTGACCCTAAAGGTGCGTACTCGATGTAGACGAGTGTGCGCAGGACTCGCTTCTCATAGTCTGCCTGTTCCCCTGCACAGAATTCTCTGCGAATGCCATGACGAAGTGACAAATCCTCGGATATGTTCCTAATGATAGACAGTCCACTGGCAGTCCCATCGGTGGCAGCTTTGGCGGAGGTGCTTCCAAGTGTTCGAACCTTCCGAAGTGCAGATATGCGGTGGTGAGCAGGACGAGAAGGAGCTTTTAGAGAATCAGAGCTTTTACGTGAATGACTCTTAGATTTGGAAGACATTGTGCAAGTTTAGTGGTAGCCGCGTTCGTGGCGGGGCAGTAAAGCCGAGCGGAGGACGCAGCGAATATTGAAAATGCAGAGCAGAACTTTTGATTGTTAGGGGCCCGACACAAGGTCCGCCGGGGTATTCCGCCCGCGGGCGCCACTCGTTGGTTGGCCTTGTATCAACGCCGCTTTCCTAGGCTAGATAAGTCGCTTTTACTCCTCGCGAATGGCGTTCTATGGGAAGCGAACACAGCCTGGAGTGCTGAGGCGCAAAAAGTTGGCGGATCACGAATTAATAGGGTCCATCTCGGTCTCGGACTGCATCTGATGCTCGCTCGCAATGGGGTCAAGTCGCACTTGGGTCTGCGGGCCAGCCTCTTCAGGGTCCGGGCTTTCTTGAGCCGTTAGAAATCCTCAACGGAGCACTATCGATACAGGCCGCACATGCGGAATTGGATACATCATGTATTTTGATAGATGGCCGACCACCAGTGGCGAGTCACCAGCCCGAAGCTATAAGCTGAGCGCAATTGGTGGCCTACCTTCCGTATAGCTTGCGTGCTCGATTCCCCCATATCGACTGTGAGTCAAATCAAGCACAGATTATCCGAACCTACTCTCAAGTGCAAGTATCATCTGTACTTTCACTCGTCGACCTAACACTCATGCCTCTCCTTTTCAGTACCATGTCCAACTGTGTCACTGCAGCAGCCGCACATGCAAGTACATACTTTGCTTCTTGCTCAAGGACGTCACGAGAAAAACGTCGAAGCATTAACAGGCGCCGATTATTGCACCAGGTTCTGGACTATGTTCTGTGCCAAGCGGGCAG